TTTATCTTTTCCCTAAAGTTGTAACATTCAATATAATACATAACTTCCATTCGGATTCTGCTTGGTACATTCTTAAAATAACATTGTATTCTTAAAAAAAGAAAAAAAATAGAAATGTATATAATTAAAACAATATTTCATTCCAATTCAATTCTATCATTAATATGAATATTCATTAAAGTCTTAACATCTTTAACATTACTTTTCAATTAAATATCATACTTCTATGGGAACAATTATAAGCTTTCCATAGTTAATTCCCCCCCCTTCACTTATATTTTATAAAATATTAACTAATTAAAATGTTCCCGTTCCTTCCTAATTCAATTTTCTCATTTATTTTATTTCAGTTATTTTATTCACAAACATTTCACTAAATTACACTAACTATTTTATCCCTCATTTTAATCATATGTTGTTTCCAATTTTCTAAAGTTATTTCTATTACTAATATAACAATACAATCTTATGTACCTTTACAGAATCCCTTTTTCAGTTAGATTTTCACCCATTATCTCTAAATAGGTCCTGTTTCTCTATATCTTGCTCCGATCCTTTGTAACTTCTTTTCCTTTCCTTCTTCCCTCTCTTCTTCTTTCTCCCCCTTTTACCCCCTTGTCTCTCTACATCTATTTCTCTCTTCTGTGTTCCCCTTTTCTGTTGCTTTCCAGTATTATACTTATTTTTCGAATTATTTTTCTTTTCTTTGGTTGTTTTTTTTAAGTCTTAAATTCTCCATTCTCTTTCCCCCACTTTCCTTTTTCTTCCCCACATAGAATTACTTGTTCATTAAAGATGGCTTCTTCTTTGTCCCAGTCTTCTTGTTTTGCAGTCTTTTCTTGTTGTTTCTCATAGTTCCAAATCTCCATTTCTAAGAATTGAAAAACGAAGCCAAAAGAACCCTTCCCTTCTTGTGCATCTTCTTTGTACTTTTTAAGTTCCATTTTCAATTCATCCAGAAGTGGTGCCATTGTATAAATTTTTAAACAACCACCAAACTGATTTTAGTCATTCAAATATAATAACCAAAAATCCAAAGATCACCAAATAATCCAAATACATGCAAGCTGTTTCTTTTTTGCTCTTTTTTTTCACTTTCTCTTCCTGGGGTTACTATTTAGTTGCAAAGTTTCAGTTAAAATGTATCTTTTAGAAGTCTTGTTGAAGTTTTACTTCAGATTCTTTTTAATTCCAGGCAGTCTCCTCCCTCTTCCAGATCCTGCCCTTATTCTTTTTCTCTCCCTTCCTGCTTATGAAAAGGAAAGTTTTTAATGTCCAGAAATCTTTATTATCCCTTTGGCATTTTGTTTTATTTTCAGCTTAATTGCCTATTGATGTCAAAGCTGATTTTTCCAATTTCCTATTTAAGTCTCTTAGTTGTCAGTATAGGGAAGGAGAGAGAAGAAAAAAAGCCAAACCTTTCCCTTTTCACTTTCCTTCACTGCTTCCGACTCTTCTTTGGAGCGATGTTATTTTTTGTAAGTTTAAATTCCAGAGTACCTTGGTTGTTGCATTTACAATTTAACCTGGTCAGCCAAAACTTTCACTTCTTATCTTCCTCCTGCACATTCTTTTCCAGTCGAGTTCTTCTTTGTGGTGGCCATTTCTGACCACCGCTGCAACTGCCTTTGGGAAAGGGAGTAATGGCCAGCTGAGGAGGAGAGATGTTGCTCTCCTCGACCCTGCTCTTCACCACCTCTACGGGGTGGCTTAGCCCCAAAACCAGCCGGCTCGGGGCGCTCCAGCGACGAGCCCAGACAGAAACCGTGCATGATCGCGGATTTCTGTCTGTCGCTGAAACCCTTCAAACCGGAAGTCCACTTTCTCTTAGTTCTTGAAAGGAAACAAAGGCAAACTACTTTTGAAAATCCTTGCCAAGCAAACTGCAGGGACTTTTCTAGGCTGTTTCTGTGGTGGTCTCTCATGAAAAGAAGACACTACGCAAAGTTGTCTTGGGATGAGAGCGCAGAGAGAACTCCGAAACCCTCTTTTATTAGAAGCAATCTTTGTTAACGTACCGTATTTCCCCATGTATAAGCACCCCCTTTGTATAAGCCACCCCCCCAATTTTTGGACTGTGAAGTTTTGAAAAAAATATTTTATTAGAGAAACAAGTTATGAAGAAAGAAAATTTACAAAGAAACAAAATTCGACGTCTAGATCTACAACTTCGGTCATGACGCCGAAAGCGGTGCGGGCGACGCTAGCAATCTACGCATCGGAACGAGAGTAGGAACGAAGCATTCAGGCCGATGCCTAGCGTATGCATTTCTATCTCGTACTCGCACTCGTAATCGTATCATCACGTACAATTTTTACAAAAAAGTATAGCATACTGCTGGAAAACCAGTTTATTCCTACTTTATTATTTTATGCATTTTTCACGTATAAAAAGTGTACCTGCTTTGTATATGCCACCCCCCTACTTTTTGGGCTTGAAAATTTTGGAAAAAAGGGGTGGCTTATACATGGGGAAATACAGTAGCAATTTTGTTAATGTCCTATCACAAATGCATTACATCACACAACATGCACTGATCATTCGCATAAAGCATACAAGGCTGCAAAGTTTAAGTTTGCTACAGTTCTGGTTAAGAAATGGCAACAATTTGTCCTTGCTCCGTGTTCCAGCCAACCACCAGAAGGCTCCATTGTCCTAGCACATACACAAAGAACAAAGAATCATAGTTCCCACATCTCCCCTGTTTTTCCTTTTTAAGAGACAGGGAGTGTTTTAGTCCCAATAACAGTCTTTGTCAGGCTCATAGGCAAGAGTGCTGTGCATGCTGATGTTATCCACGGCATTCGTGACTTCTTCAACCATCACAAACATCTTGTCCTCGTCTGGGTCGTCACAGGTTGGCTCTCCTATCTCATCTTCGGATGGCAGTGGTTCATATGTGTTAGTTATTTGTTGATTCCAGAGAGCCATTACCTGAGCAGTGACTTTTTTCTCAGCCAAGAGGGATAAACTGTTAGAAATAGTGCATACAAAGATGGGTAATACACAAGGCAATACAACACATCCCGCAGCAATCATACCAATGAGTGCTACAATAGCTTGCAAACCAGGCAATTTTGGGAACCAGGATCCAAACATGTCTCTAAAATCAAGACCTAAAAAACGATATTGTACCCCCTTAGATTCAGGTAAGTGAGTGTACAAGCAAATGGGATTACATTTGTCAGTAATACATGAAGTAGAGCTTGATTTAACAGTGATATTAATATTTTGAGGGCCTCTTACTTGAGCAGAGTCAATAGGTGGGGTATACCAGTAGTTGTAAAAAGTGGTGGCCCCCACGTTAGTCCCGGACACCTTTAGAAAGAGATATTTCTTTTCCTGTAGATAAGATCTCTGCCAGCTGTGTGAGCCGCAGGTAACTCCTGCAGCGTCATTAGGACCTTGACCTTTGCTGATGGCAAGGCAAGCATCAAAGCATACTGAGGTGTTGGTACCCCCCCCCCGAGTGACATTATGGGTTATGTACCCATTTTTTGTTTGACTGATAGAGAACATTCCTGCAAGATCAGAACTGGAGCCACCTTTGTATGCATAGACATATAGGGATGCTGTAATGGGTCCCACTGCCTTGGGCTCATAGCACTGAATGCCTTCGGCAGTGTAACATCGTGCATATTGAGTGTTGTTATGAAGACAAGGGGAGACCATCGTGGAGTTGCACTCAGGCTTCAAGGTATGATAGATCAGGGTGGATTGGGTTTTCGTTCCGTTGCGACTAGTTTTGATGCAGGCATTGCAGGAGGATGGGGTGGCTGTCATATCGGCAGGAACGATGTGGAAACCCAGGAGGCAAATGATGAATGCAGCGGGCAGCTTCATGATGCTGATGTAGGCAAGGCTGGTTTGGGTAGAAAAGGCCTCACTTGTCATCCGGGGACCCAGGTGGTGGCATTGTTGTAGGAAACAGCCACGTACCCTCGTCCCCAGGTTATAAGTTCAGCTGGCCCATGCCATGTGGGATCTGGCAACTATCGAAAGTAGACTGGAGGTCTAGGAGCATCCTTGGATGGAGAGCAAAAGTGTCGAGAGGTGGCAGAAGAAGCAGGTGTGCCAGACTCATTCAGGAAATTCAGTGTAAATAAGCACAAGTTAAGCTTGTTTTGCAGCGTGGGTAGCCCTGGGGTGAGTTTCCCCATTGAGTTTTGAACTTTGTCAAGAGCATTCTTTAGGGTCAAATTGGCTCTTTCTACTATGGCCTGCCCTTGAGAATTGTATGGAATGCCAAATTTGTGCAAAATGCCCCATTGTTTACAAAAGGTAGCAAAGTTGGTACTAATATAGACAGGGCCATTATCAGTTTTTAATTCCAAGGGCTTTCCCAGGCACACAAATGACCGGATGCAGTGGTTAATGACATGTTTTGTGGTCTCTCCTCTTTGCGGGGAGGCCATGATGAACCCTGAGTATGTGTCCACTGAAACATGGATATATTTCCATGGTGAAAAAGGTACATACTGGGTTACATCCATTTGCCAAATTTGGCAGGCTTTTAAGCCTCTGGGATTTACTCCCATTGGCAGGGCAGGGGCTTGCTTGCTGCAAGTAGGGGATTGTTGAATAATTGCAGCAGCCTCTTGGGCGGTGATTTGGAATTCCTTCATAAGAGCCCTTTTATTTTGATGAAAATAGTTATGACTGTCCCAAGGGGTTAGGGGAGAAAGAGAGAAAGCGGATAGAATAGTAGCAGCGGATGCGGCTGTTAATTGCTGCAATGCAAGCAATGTATTTGCTGGCAATGGCCATTGATCAACCCAAACAGGAACGTCCGTGGTTAAGGTCAAGCAAAGGGGAAGAGGGTGAGTCGTTCTAGCTGCAATTTAGCGCCAAATTGAGAGAGTAAGTCCCTCCCCCACAAATTCGTGTGAAGGGGGAGGATGACGGGCTTTATTTGTGCAGTCCCTGTGAGGTTTTCAGAAGTTACAGGGAGCCAAAACTTACTGATGCAAGCTGTTTGAATCCCTCCAACACCTCTTACTGATGGGGAGGTCTCTGTTTCCCAGTCTGTAGGCCACTTGTCAGAGCGTATCACCGAGACGTCAGCACCAGAGTCCAGAAGACCGGTGAAGCGGCGACCTTTGATTAAAGCCAAGAGTGTGGGCTTAGTTTCGGTGATAGATCTAGTGAGGGCAAGCACATCAGAGGGAAGTTGCGATACCATGATCATTTTTGCTACGACATCACCCTTTTGTAACTTCTTTGGAAGAGTGGATAGCACAGAAAGGTTAATGGCTGAAAGTTTTGAGGAAGGATAAAGCAGATCGGGAACCACAGAGATTCCTTTGAGGAGGGCATGAGGGTGAAATTGTATAAGAGCAGTTTTATCGGAGGAGAAGGAGGCAGAAGGAGGAAGCTGTGTGCCGACAGAGAGTGGTAGATGGGGAAAGGATATGAGCACATCTTCTGCCACTGATAATTCATACACAGTGGATGGTATATGGGCAGCCTTGGGAGAGGGGCTAGCTGCTGGCCCCTCTACTCGTTTCCCAAGGGTTCAGTTTTTGATCGACATTGATTAGCCCAATGATAACCTTTCTTACGTTTCGGGCAGACTGTTTTTGGTTGAACATCTCTACTGGCAGAGGGCTTTGCTGCCCCCCCACCGGGGGCTCGACATTGTGATTTAAAATGGCCAGGCTGCCCACAATTATAACAATTACCAGATGGCTTATTACCTCTGGTGATAGCTGCAGCCATCATCTCGGAAGTGTATTGGTGTGTTCCCACCACCGTGCAGGCTTGTAGGAATTGGGCTAGAGTGGCATCTGGAGAATTAATCAAGGGAGTAAGCAAGGTTTTACAGTCTGCATTAGCGTTCTCATATGCCAATTTAAGAAGAATTTCCTGCCGAGCTGCCTCATTTGTAATTTGCCTTTGTAGGGCCATTTGGAGGCATTCAATAAAATAGGCATAGGGTTCATTGGAATTTTGTAGAATTTTTGCAAAAGATTGTGCGGAGGTATGAGGGTCATCCAAGCGAGAGAGAGCAAGCAGAGCGGCTTGTGCAGAAAGGTTAAGAGCATTAATAGGGCTATTATATTGAGCTGTGGGAGCAGCAAAGGCACCCTCTCCTGCCAGTTCATTTGCGGTAAGATTCGGATTTTGAGCTGCCAATAGGTGACAATGATGGAGAAACTCCGATTGCCATACAACAAATTGAATCCCTGTTAGAGTCATATGAAAAAGGCTATGCCAATCAGCTGGGATCATTATATGGGCGTTAGCCATCATTCTAAATAATCCCATTGTAAATGGAGCGTGAATACCATACATTTGTACAGCTTGTTTGATATCCTTGATTGATTTAACAGGGATGGGTTCCCAGTGCAGGACGTTTTGTCCCTGCACGTTCTGCGCATAAACTAACAGGAATGCCGATGGGCAGTCGGAGTGATCTAACTCGCCAGTTCTAACTCCTGCAGTGATGGCGGCATGAACCACGCCCATAGGAGGAGGTAAGGCAGGAGAGGAAGGCACAGAAGGGAGAGCAAGAGAAGAAGAAGAGGGATTGGGTGAGGGGGGGTCAGGAGAAGGGGGGAGGTTTACCGACCTCATTTGCCTCCAGGGGGGGGGCAATCGGTTTAAGAGACACAGGCACCACAGTGGGGGGCAAGAGTTGTACAGCAGGATTCACATAAGGAGGGGGTCCAGAAAGGGGCCAAGTAGGAGTTGCTCTAGAGAGGAAAGAGCCTCAAAAACCACCCTCCAAGCAATTAATATAGACGAAGGAGCCCTAGGACTTGCATGAAGGTATTTTCCAATCTCCTTCCATACTGTAGTTTTGTTACTGCCTTTAGCCGGATAAAAAGGGCAGTGTTGCCAAATGTATTCTAGGAGTTCCTCAATAGAGGTTTTTGTGAGGGGGGCATGAAGGGAGCCCCCCTTTTTAAAGATAAAAAAATTTCGTTTGGTCAATTCTCTGATTTCCTGAATGTGAGCTGCCTGCTCCTTAGAGAATCTACCACCCATACTCACGGAGGATCCGTTGTCACCAGCGATTCAAGCGGATGGGGTGCACCAAGTCTATTCCAGATGATGAGAATGGGTGTGCCAAAGACGTATCTCTTTTGAGTGGATCACGTCGGGGTCACCAGTTGTGGTGGTCTCTCATGAAAAGAAGACACTATGCAAAGTTGTCTTGAGATGAGAGCGCAGAGAGAACTCCGAAACCCTCTTTTATTAGAAGCAATCTTTGTTAATGTAGCAATTTTGTTAACATCCTATCACAAACGCATTACATCACACAACATGCACTGATCATTCGCATAAAGCATACAAGGCTGCAAAGTTTAAGTTTGCTACAGTTCTGGTTAAGAAATGGCAACAATTTGTCCTTGCTCCGTGTTCCAGCCAACCACCAGAAGGCTCCGTTGTCCTAGCACGTACACAAAGAACAAAGAATCATAGTTCCCACATGTTTCTGAAAATTGGACACAATTGCATGGAAGAATACATGCACATGCTCCATTGGCAGCCAAGGACAATATTAATCATAAATAAAATCCGTCTCATTGACCTCAATAATTTCACCACACAGTTATCAAGGCTTTATAAAATATTTGCAGAATTGGGCTACTTGGGAGGATGGTGTTCCAGCCACAGGACAGGGACTTCAACACAAAAGAATTATCATTCTTTTAGCATAGATAAAGTGATTATGAGGCTGAACTACCTTAACTTTAAGTACACTGCTCTTGACAAATTATTATCTTTCAGTATTCTTTCTTTGCAGAACTGGGAACCTATATTGCAAGATTTTAAGATTCACATATATAGCATACTGAAATCTTTGAATACAGTATACAAATACTTATCCTTATTACCTCTAATTGTCAATTGTAATTCCATTTGAATCGTTAGCATAACAGAACACTGTTGCTGTTTCTAGGGTTTCTGATACTACACATTAAGCTTTCTAAAAATTCTGCATCCATATTTGACAAAATTGTGATAAACCTGACAGAGATCTCCATATCAAGACAGAAAGAAAGGCTGGAAAAAAATGTAATTCTTAATTTAATTTTCCAGTGCTCCTGACTGATATGAGGTACACATGCAAATCACTTCAACCTTAACAATCCTCAGAGAGAAGAATGATAAATAAGAAAGGATTATATAAAGCCCCCATCATAAATGCCATTGTCTTTAAGCTTTAACCTAGAAAAACTCAAAGTGTTATGTTTCAATAATCCTACTGAAACTTTTCTATGAATTTCCCTAAAGATTTAAGATTATATATCTTAAATAAATATATTTATTTTAAGGCAAATGCTAAGCAAACTTTAGCAGGTGAAATTATTAATGGTAGGGGAAATGGAAAATATTTGAGTTTCACTATGGCCTCATTTTCACAATTTAAGATTCAGAGTACAAGTATGACCTCACTATAAAATATAAAGGAGTTATTTCTAATTTATGATTTCTCCTGCAAGAGAAATGTTTATCTAAAAAAGCACCAAAGTTTAAGGAAAGCATAAGCTTGTCACCTTTTCAGTAAAAATGCCTGGATATTGGACATTTGTCTATTTTCTTTCTCTTATATGAATACATTTCTCATCATCTCCCCAACTTCTAGATATATGAAATAGCATCTAGACATAAGAGAAAGTTCTTTAGTTAAATTTCTTGTAGCAATTATAATGTAGTTTCTTCCAACTGTCAATGCAAAATTGTGTTGAGTTATTCATAAACTTTAATGAGGAATCGTGCTGAATAATTCCAGTGAATTCCACTCCCACTGATGGCAGCTGCTGGCAGAACAAGATCCTTTGTTAATAATTGCAATTTATTTTATATGCAGGCTTTCCCAGTCACCCAGAAAAAATCCTCCAAATGAAACAAAATCACTAAAATGTGATGGACTGTCCTTTCTCCTCTTGGCATGGTGTTTAAATAGTTCATATACTTCCTGCATAAGATGTCTCAGCTGGGAGAAGTCTGAGATGTTTTCATAAATTTCATGTTGGAATGAAGAATCATACTACTTCAATTTGGCTTTTCTGTAAATTGCATTCTCTGAATTAAAAAAAAACATCCTAATTTTATATTACTACCCACAAATACTGGTTTTAAAAAATGAACCTTTTTTCAAGGTTTTAGCAGTTTTTTCAAATAATGTTTTGTTGTTGGTTTCTATATGTGGTTAATAATAATTTATTAAGCATGTTTGATACATCTATTGAATATGATAAATATATAACAACAATAAAAACAAAAAACAAAACAGAAGAGCAGCAGAAAACAAGCCCAGAGAAGAAAAAGATAAAAGAAAGCTGCATTAATTATCCTCTAAAAAAGCCTGGTCTTATAGGACTCTTCAAAATACCAGTAGAGTGAGAGCCATTTAGGGACAGATCAGAGAATAGGCACAGAGAAGACAGGCTTTTTGGATCCAGAGTGATGGCATAGTTTAATTGACTGAACCCAGAGTATGCCAATCCTGCTATATTGAACTAGACAGGCAGATGTTAGGAAATATGTTTCTTCATCCATATATTACTGAAATGCAAAATTGCACTAAGTGAAGAAATGTAGAACTAATTTTTTTACATTGATCTCATTGAATCAAAAATAGTGCAATCTCTGAATTTTGAGTAATAAACTTCAGAAGAATAAATTTCCTTGAAAATCATCTATTGCAAAATTTTATCAATTCCTTTATATCATTGGCATGTATGAATCTGCCCCAACAACCCATAAAGGGAAACATACCTACTGCAATATATATGGTGCCAGCACTGTTAATGGAAGAGGCAGGACATGAAATGGAAGAGGCAAGACACAAAAGTACAGGTAAAACTGTTTATTTTGAATCTGGAAGAAAAAGCCACAGAACCGCAGCCGGCACTGGCTTTTATGAAATGTCCAACATTTCAGCCACTGACTGAGCTTTATGTCTCCCACCAGTAGTTTTATGTCTCCCGCCAGTCTCCATTCCTATTGAATATTAATTGCAATGGGCAGTGGCGTCATGCATATTTCCTCCTTCCCTCCCAGTTAAGACTCACCCAATCATTGTCTGTATACCTTATGTAGTCCCATAAGTAAGCGGGCTTCTAGAGGTGCATCTGGGCCTGCATGTCTCATTTGTTCCTGAAGCAGTGATCTGTTCGGACAGGCACTGCTGCTTCTGTCCCTGCCTGTGGAATCATCTCAAAGCTATCTTGAGGCATGGCAGATTCCGTTGAGCTTGAGGTCTCAGAAATACTTTGCGGGACTTCTTCTAAAACTAAGTATTCTGCTGTCCTATTTGGGCTTTAGGCTAGGCTGGGGTTTATCCCTGCTTGTTCTGCTGTCCAACTAGTTGATAGGGTTGGCTCTGTGTTACCATGTCGGGCTTCTGTTTCAGTGTCAGTGATCTGGCCTCTTATCTGGTTGATGTGATATCCCATATTTTCCCCCTTCAATCTTCATTCTGTAAGACTTGGGCCAGTAACTCCTATTATTTTAGCTGGTACCCAGGTGCCCCCCATGTAATTGTGTGTATAAATGGAGTCCCCAACTGTGAATTTCCTACACTTCCCCATTGAGTCTGCCATTGGTGTAGTTAGGGTGTATTCTGTCTAGGATCGACCTTAACTTTCAGCCCATCAGTAACTCGGCTGGGTTTTGGTGTGTTGTTGCATTGGGTGTGATGTGTTGTATTAGCAACATCATATCAATCTTTTCTTGCCAGTCCCCTGGGCCCATCTTCTTGAGCACTTCCTTAGAGGATCTGACCATTTTTTCTGCTTGCCTGCTGGAGGCTAGGTGTGCTGGCGCTGACAGGGCATGGCGGATCCCTAGTCCTGTTAAGAAGCTTTCAAATGGTTGTGCCATGAATTGTAGCCTGTTGTCAGACACTAACATGTCTGGTAACCCGTGGGTGGTGAATAACCTTTGCAATGCCCTTATGGTGGCCTCAGTTGTGGTGGACTTCATGAGAGTTACCTCTAGCCACTTCGAGTGGGCATCCACTGCTATTAGGAAGGTCTGACCCTTGCATGTCATGGCGAAGTCTATGTGTACCTGGGCCCAGGGCAATGTGGGGGTTTCCCATTTCAAGGGGAGTGCTGAAGGGAGTGCCAGTTGGGAGTCCTGGCATGGGGGACAAGTGGTGACCCAGGCTTCAATCTTCTTATCTAATCCTGGACACCACACATAGCTCCTAGCTAGGGCTTTCATCTGCACAATCCTGGGTGGCCCTTGTGCAACAATTTCAGTACCCTTGTCCTTAATGCTGGGATATT